GGGGGGGGGGGGGGGTTTCACTATCGATCCATGCCTTTTTCTCTGATTTGCGTTGAAACTCAAACACATGGATGATTCTTGTCGGCCGCTGGCCAAGAAGGAGCCGACATCTGATTGAGATCTTGAAAAAATCCAGATCTCCATCTCCTTCGAAATCAGATCCAAACACATCCAAATATCAAAGTTATGCATATTTCCATCTCCATCAATATTAGATCTGAGAAATCGAACAGCGAATATTCTTGTCTGCAACGTTTCTTTTTGGTAAAATCGTTGGCTAGAAATTGAAGATTTTGTGTATTAAGATTTAGCATCACAGTGGTAATATAGTTGGTGTGAGTGATATCACAGTTGGTACCCCAATTGATACTACATTCGATATCACAATGCATCTTGTATGTATTTTTGGTATTACAACGTGGATCGTCTGTATGTATCTCTTAAATTTATATTACATATTTGATTTTGGTTTGTTTTTAAGGTTTTTGAGTTGGTATCATAAATGGTTTCACAGTTATATATTATTGCATTTTTTTTTTTGCTTTATAACTTAAAGTAACTAAGAAATTATAGAAAAAAACCCTAAAACTCTTTTTTCTATTGTTGATGAGGAAGAATACATAAGAAGGGTTGCAATTTATTTGAAGTTTTGTAATCGTTATTATTACACTATTTTTCTCGAGAACTTGTTGGTTAAAAAACAATTGCAGAAAATGCCTTCATCTTTTTTGTTATTGTTGATGATGAAGAGCGTTGTTACAGTTATATGTGTTACTGCATAATGGAAGTGTTGTATGTGTGAATTACGTAATATTATTCAAAATACACAAATTCTTTCCAACTTAAATAAGAATTGTTTTTAGATTTAAGGTGATCAGGTCAAAAGTCAAGTATATGGGAAATTAGAAGCTCGAGGATGTTCAAAATTTTAATCATAAAAATTAATTAATTATAAAATATTCTCCAATTTTTTTTTGTATTGCCCAATCTGCTCATTCATTTAATGCTCGAGGTGCAGCTCGCCTAATTTTTCGAGAAAAGTTGTCCAAACCTACAAATCTATTAGACCAAATGGGTCGTGTCTAATGGGTTGTCTTGTTTGTGAATAATTATGCTATATGGAACAAGAACTCTCGCCAAATGGATAAAAAATCTCTTCTCATCAAGAACTCTCGCCAAATTACAAGTCTTCCTATTAAATTAGTAGATATTAGAAGAGTACTCGTGCAATGTATCGAGACACATCTCGATTTCAATGTTTCATTTTATTTTTTTATTTATGTCGATATAATACAGTTTTATGTGGTTTTGAGGAATCGATAATGTTTTTATTTTTGAATAAGATATAAGTTTGAAAATATAATAAATTTTTTATAAAAAAATATCAATATTAGTTTCAAATTAATTATTTAACGTAAAGAAGTAATTTAATTTAGGTTTAATAATATATTTTTTTATAAAGATAATTATTAAGTATTTTGTTAGAACTCAATGATTATCCTAATTATATTTAAAAAAATTATTTTTAAAATAAGATGTTTATCCTATATTTGATTATGTTTATCTGTAGTTAGTCATACGAATTCAAAGATAGAGCTTTACTTGTAATCATGAGTTTTAAGTAATATGCATTAATTAACAGTATTTTGTGCATAAAAAATATTTTTTAAGAGTTTTTGTCAAATACTTTATAATATAGTATAGATTATACTTCAATTTATGAGTTTTAACTAAATGTTTTATAAACATAACATATAATTAAATAATTATGCGTCTTTTATTTTTGGTTTTATGAGCCAAGTTGGTTGCGTTTTCGATTTTGTTTTGAGTGCAACTTTCATGTGATTTTATGCTTGAATGAGAGCTTTCCCGTTAGCATGAAATTTGGTAAGGCACGTTTTTTTATTTCTTAATGCTCTGAGTAGTATGATTTCGCAACTATTTAAAATTAACTTTTTTTTTTGGTTCAACGACGGTAGCTCAATTTAGGAAATGAGAAGTTACTCTCGTTTTTAGGTCGATATCATTTTCAATATGGATCGAATTCTAGTTTCATGTGTAGGTATTCTTAGTTTTATCGTGATGGTTGTGATTTTTGATTTACAGTCTTGGTTACCTAGCGTGGTCGAAAACTTATAAAAAAAACAAGTTTAATTTCTTGAAACAGTGTAAAAAAACACGATATTTGACGAAATTTAAACATCATAAAGGCTTTGAGAAAAATCATCCAATCTAATGTTAAAAAGTCGTATTAATGAAACGTCATAAAGGCTTTACCATTGTAGATGCTGTAAATGAAAGTAAAAAGACGAGGAAATTACGAAAATCGTGTTTCGTGTTTATTAAAAAATTATCACTAACCTTTGGAAACATAAGGATGGTGACCAAGGTTTTTATTTTTGCTTAAAAAATGGTCCATGACCGTTAGAACAGTTGGCATCGTTAACTATTGTTTTTAAGTGAGGGTCAGTTTGGTCTTTTTATCAAATGATAATAACGAACATGTCCCTATAACATATGTAAAACTTATTTCTTTCTCATTATAATCATTTTTAGGATGTTCTTTAAATTTAGAGAATTTTACACTCTCTCCTACTTTCTCCATTTTAAAGACAACTTACCAAAAAACATGTCCAAAAGGATCAAAATCTTTAAAATCTCCATTTAAAACAATATATTGGAGATAGCTCTTAACATATGCCGACTTTTTTTTTTTTTTTGCTTCATAAAAAAGACAAAAAGACCAAAACACCCTTGTTAAAAGTCGTAAATTGTTTGGCAAAAATAAGCTAGCTTATAACATTATTTATTATATAGGTGTACGTTTGGATGCACATAAGCTACCTTATTGAAATGTTGCTCCGAGTTGCGTTTTGGTAGCTTGTCACTTTTTTCAATTATAACAAAATTTAAATATTACTAATCTATACTATATTATCAAACATTTGACAAAACCTCTTAAAAACCACTTTTTATGCGTAAAGTACTGTTTGTTAATGCATATTACTTAAAACTTAATATTACAAGTAGATTGTGCGTAAGTACAACTTATCAAAGCTCCATATTTGAATTCGTGTAACTAATTGCATATAAACATAATCAAATACATGATAAACATCTCATTTTAAATACAAAAAATCTAAAATATATTTAGAATAATCATTGAGTTATAACATAATACATAATTGTTATCTTTTTTAAAATGTTATATTATTAAACCAAAAATTAAATTATTTCATTATTAAACTTAAATTAAATTAAAAAAAATAATCTATATCTATACTATATTATAATGCA